CCCCCCCCCCCCCTTCTCCCTTTATGACCAGTCAATTGAAAAAGGCAGAATAAATACTGAAAAAGTGACATTTTTCAGTATGTTAAGTGTGATCGGTGTACTTTAAAGTGTACTGCTAAGTCAACATCCCTTTCCAGAATAGCATGTCTCTGCTGACTGCCTCTTTGTGCAAGACTTTCAGACTAATTCTCCATGAAAAGTGTAGCTTCCAGCAACTTGTAAAAAGAATCTCTTTTCCTTATGAAGTCTTTTAGAGATTTTGATTCATGTAGAATGAGGAAAATAATATAAAAACAATATGAAATGGGTTATTGCCTTTCCCTTCCTGAGGTTTCCATGGGTTTATCCTCTTGAAGGAGATTCTCACCATGACTTTCAGCAATGGAAGGAATTCATCCAGTGCTGTGCGCAAAGCTCTTCAGCTACAAGCAAAAAGGAAGAAGGTAGTGCCATTGCATCCACTTCAGAATTTCTACTTGGAAGCCTAGTGACAAAACATTGAAGTAAAAATAATTAGAAATACTTGGGATTTATTGTCAAATTTTCTCAACTGACTCATCTTGGATATACGCACGGAAAACACCCTCCTACTCTTTGCTGTTACTGTTCAGTTACTGCTCAGTATTTCTGTTCAAATAATGTATTGGACTGGTATTTTATATATCTATATAGTTGCTTTCTTCCATCTTCTTCTTTTCATTTTCCTTAATGTTTAAGCCAACATATGTATCAAACTGATGATTCCAATTCAATAACTTAATTTCTGCAATTGATTTATTCAGTGTGACTGAGATACAGTTAGTTTGGTGAGTAAAGCAGAGAATACGCATACCTCTCTGTGTCTGGGAACAGGTGGGAAATTGAGGTTTTGGGGACTGAATTATCCTAGTTTTCAAGAGTTCTTGACTTTTCTAGGAATTGTAGGTATTTAGCACCACTGATTAACAAGCAACTTATTTAGGTGTTTAACTTTAGGCAACCAGATAGGTTTGAGTTTTGAGGTCGTTTGTTTCTTAAGTTTGGTTGTAAGTGAGGAGAGGGTGACGTTGTATATCTTGTAAGATGTAAAAGCACAGAGGGAACTAGTTTGAGATTGCATATGAAGGTATGTCTATGAGGAATAAGATGAAAGCTGATCAGAGTAAGATGTCTGCAGCATATGAGAAAAAAGATAACTCCCAAATGTGATACATGAGAATGTTTTCCAAGAGAAGCAAAGGAAATTTTAGCATGCATGGACATTTGAAAGGGCTCTGGATAAAAGGAGGCATTTGCTGGAGCCTGCATAGAAATGGTTTTAATCTCTGATACTGTCTCTGGATATTTGGCATGAAACACAGTGATTTTGCTTGAAAATACATGGGGCAGCCAAAAGCTTGTAGCTACTCGTGCCTTGCTGGGAGATCAGCTTCCATAAAACTGAGTTCCTTTAAAGAAGGTGCCATGCTGTCAGCACATCTGTCTCGAGAAAGGGAAGGAAGCACTGAAGGTGGAGGATTGCTCTTCATTAATTGCATCATATTGAGCTACCAGGCAGACAAGTACTTGAGACAGCCAAAAGGTGGAGATTTTTAGGTTTCACTCCCTGATTTTCCTTCTCCTCCCCCTTTCCCAAAGGAAATGCTTTGCCAAAACCTCCTTGTGGCAACACAACAGTTTTTAAAGAAAAGTTAAAACCAAAGAAAGAATTTTGGAGACTTGGTTAATTCCAATCCTTTCTTTTCTGGAAGGAAGACTTGTAACATGTACACTCTATCATGTTACACCTCTTCTCCACTGTTATTCAGGGTGCAAATTCAAAAATTTAAATTAAAAAAATACAAACAAAAATAACCCAGGGGCACAAGTCATTACCAAGTCCTGTAAATACAAGAGTTTTCAGATTCTAGTTGTTGCTCTGATGATAACAAAAATGGTAAGAATTATGGAGACGTTCGTGCTTCATTCAATTTTATTCTTGTATGGATTACTCATGTAAAAACTTCCTATGCTTTCAGCAGAATTATTTTGCAGGTAAGATCTGTAGAATCTAGCTGATGTTTAAGAACATTTTTAGTGTAAGACTTCATTAATAAGATGAGTTTGTGGATTTTATAATTTCTTGATCAGAAATGTATACCTGACTTACTAACTTAATATAGTTTCAGTTTTGCACACTGTAATCTTATATATAGATGTCAAATGGGGAGAAAACTTTTCAGTGCATCACAGCAGTTGCTATTTGAATAGAAATATATTTACTAGTAAGTGTATACAACTTAATGTGTGAGACAAGACATCTGCTGAAGATGAAGTCTTGAATTAAATTCTATTTTTATCAGAGCTGTCAATGTGTTGGGGCTTGAAGTAAAGGGTTCTTTCTTAACGGAAGGTGCCTTGAAGGTAAAGCCGTTCTTTTTCTACTGCTCAGATTGACTGTGTCCTTGACACTTGGACAGACAGAATCAGGAGTGAATTCCTGGGGATACATGGCATCTGCCACAAGATCCTGAAAGTAAAATGAACCTTAAATTACAGACTTGGACAATACTGAAAATTTCCTTCTGGTTTCTTAAAGAAAATTTTTGGAAAGACAGTGTTAAATAATAAGCTGTCTAAGGCATAGAACTGAAGAAGGTTTCAATTAGTGGTGATTGTGGGGTTTTTTTTTAATAATATAAAGCAAAGATGAATATAACATGTTTGAGATTTGATTTAATTCAACTGAAGATTAACAACTTGTTTAAAAAGCTGAAGAAGGCAAATAAATGTTTTCAATGTGCCTGCAAGATTATTAGTGTATAACATTAACAAGGATACAAGTGGAAAGTCCATGACTGAAAGTAACCTGACAGCTTAAACAAACACAGGTTTGGGAATTTCTCGGGTATCAGAGCACCTCCGAAAGAACAGAAATGTAATTCAGATTTTAATACCTCTTGATGCCTCTTATATGATGGCTATTGTTTTTTTCACTCATGCACCTGGGATACTGAATGTGATACTCTGGAATGAGTATCTGCAATTGGGTCAAAAGCTTCCAGTGCTCACCGGAAGAAAATTCCCATAGAGTGGTGTGGAACAACATTAAGGACAAATGACAAAATACCTTTTGAATTAGGAGCTACCAAAAGTACTAATGCAGATAGATATGATTGGGATCAATGTCTTTTTCTCTTCCCACACAGAAGTTAGGTGCACTGATTTGTAAAGAAAAGGTCAGGACAAGACTTAAAGGTTCATTGTTGCGTACAGCAAGAATATTGGTGTGAGCACGCTAGACATGGTGTAAGCATGTAGCACAACACTGACTATCTAGCTATCATAAATTATGAGTTTACACTTGATGAGGAGGGGACAAAGGTATTACCGAAGGATTTTGTACAATTAAATTCCTAGCGATAATAAAGCTGAGTATCCCAGAATTCATATTCTTCTTTTAGAGATCTGGCTGACTTAGCCTGTGGTTCTATCATTAGCTTTTAAAATAAATGATTCACCTTATTCAATGATCTTATATATACAGGAAAATGTAAGAGCTCTTATGGGATGATGAGAGGAAACTTGGGAAAGTTTTCTCAGGTCCAAGGGAATAAAAAGAAATAACTGTCCCAGTTAAATCCACTGCTGTTTAGTTGGCCTGATCTGAGAATTTGATGTTAGGCTGCTGGAATCAGCATTGAAAGAAACTTGGTGCACAGTGTTATCAAAATTGTGCCTCTATAGCATGTTTTGGACTAGTTAACCACTAACTGAGGTCATTGGTGTTTAACATAAAAAGATAGTGCAGATTTTCTAGCCGAGGGAGCTATACATTTTTCCTAGCAACCTGCAAGAATATTTATGATAGCCCAGGAATGCAGTGAACATCTACTGATCTGAGATAGACATAAAATGTAGTTTCATATGAGTGAGCAATTTTAATTAGCATAAAGGTTGTAGGCAAGGTGGATAAGAAAAACATTTAAAATTAAATTAGCTTATAAAAAGCACAGGTGTAAATCTTGATTCTTTGGGGTATAAGTGAGTCAATAGAACCACAAAAGCAATGCCTCTTGTCTGGAAATATTTCTAAATAATCTGCATAATCAGGGGTGAACGATCACTTCTTCCTATATAACAACTAACCACTGTTAGATGGCACATCAGACTACTTGGACCACTAGTCCTAGGTCACAGATGACATTTTCTTAGCAAGGGCAAGAAATATTTCTGGCCCTGAGAAAGCATCTAACTTGCAGAGGTTTCAAGGAGAGGCTCGAGTGTCAGCAGTGTCTCATAGGCATTCCTGGCACTGTCTCCTGTGGCCCATGCACTGGTGACTATTACATGATGTTGTCCCCACACATTCATCATTTGCTGCTCATTCACCATCTCTGTTGTATCTGCATGTGGTGCTGACAGCATGGACTGCTAGACAGAAAGCTATGGCTTAAACAGTCCCTTTTTACTATGCAGACTTTTTTTTTTTTTTTTAAAAAAGAGTAAATACTAAGTGAGCCAAAGTCTGGAGCATGCTGGAACTAAGTGGGACTAAAATGACAGTCTGGTAAAATTGCAAGTGAACTCAGAAAGCATCCAGCAGGAAAAATACACCCATTTTAATGAATCAGACTGGATTTGCATTACCAGAGAGGAAAAATTGACAATTTTTGTTTCAACATGTAATTACTTTTCATTATGCATCATTAGCTTATTGGATATGGTTCCAGAGAAAATAAGAATGGGCTATTACCAGTGAAAATTTCTGTGTAATATTTTTAGTATGAAATGGAGCAGCTTGACAAAGTGGAGATCCAGAAGACTTGCCCAAAGTGAGACAGTGAGTCAGTGGAGCTCAGAATCAGCCCTCCTGGCTTCCAGTCTCTTGTGCTGTACTTTAACCATATTTCCATAACTAAACTCATTAGGTGGCATAAGGCAGGAATAAACATCCAAGACCCAATGAACCTTTGCTGAATTCAAAATAGAAAAGTGTAGTAAACATTTGTGTTTGTCTAGACCTTGATGAGTACATTTAAGGCAGAAAGGCTCAAATTTGCAAAACATTTTACACTCCTGGTCATGAAACTGAGGACCAGAAGCATGTCTGAACATCCCAGAAGATGCTCTCCAGGTCTGAGCCCTGTACGAGAGGAAGAAGATGACATTAGTTCACCCACTGTCTCCCCTACAAGAGGAACTTCTTTAAGGAACTGTTGTGTCAGTAGTTTCTCTTTTGTCTACTACTTTCCAGTGAATGTTGCCTTGCTTATCTATTCCTTGTCCACAGTTAAAGTTGCTGACATCCCAGTCCTGTTCTTCCACTCTGTGCGGTCCTTCTACCACCTATTTTTCTCTGAGCAGACCTGTCAAGGATGGTGCACAACACAAATGTTTTATACATAATGGAAAAAAGATTTACAGGAAAATATGGTGGTGACTTGATCAGTTCAGGAGTTTTTCACTTTCTTAAAAGTAATAATATGAAAATATTTAGGTCAGATCTGGAGAAGTGCTTGCTGGTGAAGCAAGTGTGCGTAAGATGAAGATTTAGGTACAGAGAGTAGAGGTAGGTCACATACAGCTTGGAAGAAATAAGTTCATTGGGTTCAGAGTAATGTAAGAGAGGAGACAGTGCAGGGGGATAAAAAATGGCTCAGTTGATGTAAAAGTACACGACCTGTGAGTTCAAATAATATCTACATTAAGTTCCAGTTCTTTCCAATGAGCCAGCTGCATCAAGACGATGAAAAACAGTATCAGAGTTATGCAAAACTGTTGCTATTGGTCAATGGAGATGAACTCAAATGAGGTAAAGAAGAAACCAGTTTTCTGTCAGATAGTTTCCTTGCTGATGAGAGGCAGAGAATTTTCTTTCAGTATCCCCTTATTGTTAAAGCTGTTCAAGTGCTTTTATTTCATATGGATGAGGGAATTACCTAGAGCAAGAAATCAGGAAATAATCTTGGCAGTAAAGGGCTCAGAAGAGGCTGTAAGCTTTGAGGCCGCATTCAAGGCAATTACTAATTCCAAAACATGAGATAATCTAGATTCGGGCACAAGTTACCCAGTGAATACTAAAAATGTTACCCTTATTTATAAAATATAAAATAGTATTCATGAACACTGTGTATTTACCTTTCCTGTGGAGCAGTGAGGAGGAGGAAAAAATGTGTTAAAACAGTAAAGGAGGAGAAAAAAACAACAGAAAAGGAGTTGATTTTTTTAAAAAAAACATTCTGCAATTACAAATTAGGACACATATCTTTTTTTCTAGAGGTGTTAATCTTATGTAGCTATGAAGCACACAGTTTGTCTTAAACCTTGCAATTATCTCCATGAAATGTTCAAAGGCAAGAGAAACAAGAAACTGTGGATTCCCAACGGCCTTAAATCTTTTACTGATATTAGAAGAACTGCAAGAGGAATATGGCCTGTTTGATTCTTAGCACCGCAAACTTTTATAGAGAGATAATGCTCAAGGCAAACATGAATATTCCTGGTAAAAGTATGTTGTTTTGGTTATTAACAATCATGTCAGAAAATCGTAGAACTTCTGTATTGAGACTTGAGCATTAATTTTTTAACTTACCCTGACATCTCTCAGCAGGAAAGGTCACGTTTACATTAGTGCCCTTTGGGAACTCTCTGAGCTGAAGTAGGAGAAAAGGTGTTGTTTATGGTAGGGTCTCCTGCTAGGATGTTTATGATGAGGCAAGAACTTTCTGTCATCAGACTCCCATGGTCCCTGTTTGAAGCAGAACTGTCTTCGGGGTGTGTGGGGGGGTTTGTTTTGTTTTGTTGCAGTTTGGGGTTTTGTTGGGTTAGTTTTGTAAGATTATCTTGTGGTCCAGGATAAAGCAGTATCTATATGCTACTACCTTTCTTTGCAGCCCCAGTGCTCCATTGTGCCTGTCCCTCTTTGCAGGTTTTAAAAGAATGGCCTGTTAAGAGTGGTGGATGGCTCTTATTTGTGTCATCTACGCGTTCCCACTAGCTGACTCGGGATAACTTGGTTTAAATAGTTCTAGTCTTCTGAGCAATATCATTAAGATATTGAAAAGGATATTCTAGCTCAAAATTTTGAATTTGGATCAAAATACTCTGCTCTCAAGTCTGCTGATTTCATCCGTCTTTGAGTCAGACTCTCCCTTAAGGACTTTCATGGGAGCTTCAGTTTGTTTTGTTGTTTTTCCCCAGTTGGTGCTGTCTAGTGCAGCAGGAGCTGAAGTCACTGGAAGTTTGATCATTGACTTTCATGAGGGAAACCTCAGGATCTGAGCATTTGAGATGGAGAGGGTACTTAGCAGTACTCAGGCAAAGATCTGACTAAGTAAGTCAACGGGAGTTTTGCCACCTTCAAAAAATGCGGGATGGCACTCTGCCTTTGTTTGCCCTCCCAAAAGTTAAAGGGGGAAAGCAAAACAAATCAAAATCAACATGTTGTGCTCCGTTCAGACTACTTGAAAAAGAAAATGTTTTTCAAAACTGTGTATGCTTTAAAACCTTTGGAGAAAATCAGTCCTACTTCTTCAATGCTGAAAGTAGTGCACCTGAAACATTCCAGAGGCTTAACGCTCACAGTGTATTAACTTAAAATGAACCAAAACACTGGATGTTTTCACACGTTGACATTTCCTATGTAGGTATATGTGTGTACGCTGGGGTTACAAAATGATGAGTTCTTAAAAAGAGCTCTCCCAGAACGATCTTTAGGCTTTTGCTTGTTTAAACCTTGTATATAAGGAAAACCTTATGCCGGATTAAAACGAAATCTTATTAAAATGGCATTTACATACTCGATCAATGCCTCAACAGTAATATCCGTAGGACATTCCTCCTCAGTGTCCAGGAAAAAGCAGCTCACAAGTGGAGATGGAGATAAACATCTCTACTACATCTAGATTATACCAAACGTATTCATTTTTCTTAAGGGGGGAATTTTTTTTTTTAAAAAGGGTAGATCGTGGGAAAGTAGGTGTTTATTCTTCATGAGTGGGACGTTTTGACCTTTGAGAGGTGGGTTCCCCCCCACTCCCACCCCGAGGACGGTGGGTGCCGGCCCGGTTGGGCGCTGCTCCCCGGGGCGGCGGCGGGGGCTGCAGGGACGCGGGGCCAGCACCGAGGGCGGTGCTCCTTGCCTCTGGGTGGGTGTCTGTCTGTCTGTGTGTCTGTCCCGAACTGCAAGCTAAAAGATAATTCAACAGACCCCTCCAGTACCCCACCACGCTCTCATTTTCGCGTCCCCGGGTGACTGAAGCTGCCCACGGCTCAGCCGGTGCCCGAGAGCGGCGGGAGCGGCCACGGGCCGGTTCCCCTTGGGAAGGTGCCGGGGGATTTGCGCTGTCCCGGGGAAGAAGGTGGGGAACGAGGGACAGGTCTTATGAATCCGAGGTAACAGCTGGAAGCTACTGCTCGCCCCATGCGAGAAGGAAAGTATTGCTATAAATCGGGAATCTTTATAGCTGTTCGGCCGGAGGAAGCTTTTTGGCTGTAAACTGTCATGCACTGCAGCCCTCGCTGAAAAGGCTGTGGAAGTGGGGAGTCCGCTCTCCTGAGAACCAAAGTGCAATTAAGATCAGAAAGAGGGAGAAGGAAATAAAATAAAGACGGCGGGAATCCAAGCCGAGGGAAAACTTTATGGTTTGGCTTGATTTTTCCCCCCCCGTTCCAAAGATTAAGTATAACTTCTGGAAACTTTTTTTTTTAATAATCACTTAAAAATGTAAAGTTGGATTGGATAGACTTTATTTTTGAAAGTCCAGCTAAATTTGAGTGCATACATACATTCATTATTTGTCTGGGATGAGCGGCGCGGCCATTTGCTAAGTATTAAGTAAAACGTGAAATATATCAAATTAAATGCAACATCAACCCTTCTCTCTTTGCCTAAGGAGAGCGATCAGTGCCAAAAGTAATAAACATATAGATAAATGTCTGCTGCCGAATGAGTTGAGTTTGCTTTCTGTTCCTTGTGTGAGTATATATATAAATGTGTTAAGATCTAGCCCTTCCTTGAAGCATCCATCCGGAAGAATTAGAATCGTGTTTTTAAAGCTCGGACTGCCTAAATACCCGCTCAGGCAGGCTCTATTTATTTTATTTCTTCATTTTCAGAACCGTTCATTTTCCACCGAAACGGCCCCGTCGCTTTCAATTCCGGCTGGTTCTGCTGCTTTCGGCTCTTAAATATGTTCATTGTCAGGTGAGGTCGAGTTGAGGAAGAGCTGAGGCTGGAGTTTGTCCTACGCGCCCCCCCCCACCC